GTTTACGATAGGAGGCGTTGCTTATAAATGACCCAAGTTAACGAAGCGAACGTGCTGACCTAACCCTTACTAAGTTATTTAAAACAACGCTAATAGGAATTCCTTCATAAATAAGACTATATTAGTGTCATTATAATATGAATGACTTAGTGATGTGCCTGAGAGAACAGCCACATTAGATAAGAAGTCAGCCGCCTTTTAAAAATGAAAACAAGCGCAATGGTGAGGTAGAAACGGCGAAAGACTACAGTTAAGAGTGGACACACGTTGCTTGAAAAGTAAGATTTAAAAATATCGTGAGTCTAAACTGACTGGCCAAGGGACGAAAAAACGCTACCTTTTGATACTGATTTGCTAACATTTGTCATGCCATTGATTAGGCAAGTGTTCCACTCTAGCTGATATTAATAAGCTGCGAAAATTTATGGTCAGCAGGTCTGACGAATACCAGCTAAGAGAACATACAGGATTCTGAAGGAGCTATAGCACACGGGATAACATTTGTATCTTCAAGAAGGTGAGGAAATGCCAGCAGCGTATGTGCATTATGTGCATGGCTTTCATCGACTACAAGACAGCGTACAGCGGCGTTTGACACCGTCGAGTACAATGAACTGTGAACCGCACTGGCATAGCAGGGCATAGATGTCCTTTACATAAACCTAGTAAAGAAGACAAACTCTGGCTGCTTCACAAATGTTACGCTATTCGATGCCCCTCTGGATTCCTAACCCATAGAGTAGGATGTGCAACAAGGAAATACCATCCTTCCCAATCTCCTTATTGCCTTTGGAAATAATGTTTGGGAGAATTAACTAGAAGAGTGGAATAATCATCTATAGTGAACAGCTCAACCAGCTGAGGTTTATTGATGACGTAGTGTTGTTTTGCGGAAAACATCAGTCAGCTACAAGACGTTGCCAAGAGCACGATAGAAACAGTGCAAAAGTTGTACAACGAATCATTCAGCCAACGATGAAAATGTTGACATTAGATGTCTTGCCGAAGGTTTAGGTTTTATTAGATGGCGAAAAAACCGAAGAAGTTGATAAATGCATTGTCCTGGGCTAAGAGATCAGCATGCAGCATGATCAGGCTGGAGAGATTCAACGAGACACGTGGACATTTGGCGCCTATTCTAATCCATCATGGATGTCCTTCTTGGCAATATCGTGAAAAAAATCCGCGCTGCCTCTTCCATTCTGCAGCCCTACCGGCAATGTTGTAAGGCTGCGAGTCACTCATTAAAGCCGGCAAACGTCAGCTATCCGTTACCGAGAGAGCTATGGAAAGAAGAATGTGAAGAAATTCGCATCATGGCCACGTCCGAAACACGGTGATCAGACACCGCACTGGAATGAAGGGGCGTTTTCGTCCAAACAAAGGGAAGACGCTTCAGTGGTGTGGACATGCAGCTCGGCTCATCGACAGGAAAGGATCGGGGATGATAGTCGACTGGTGTCCTCTCGGACAGATTGGCCCACTTGGTTGCCGACTACTATGGAGAGAAGATTATTTCAGGAGTCGGGAAGGCTGTGCTTGGAGGAAAAGGGCTCGAAACCGCAAGGAATGACGGGCGTGTTATGGTCAGTGCGATTCGTCGCCGAATTACTGACTGCTTTAAGTAATCCAGCTGATCTCGTAGTAGCGCCATATTAATCGCAAACAAATTTCAATTACTGATGATATGATTTGTTAGGGCTAATGGCATTAAAGCTATTTGTGGTGCTTTTGCTTTATTCAGTCTTTCACTTTATGCAGTATGCAAACGGTACCGTGTGGGTAAATTATCGCATCAAACTGACCGGACCGTGCGAAAAGGATTTGAAAACGTTTGTGAGTTCGAGGCGAGGTAAAAAGAATTGTCTGTTTTAAATCATTTTTGCAGCCAATCGATCGTCAGCGATGCTTCTTGACATATGAAAGTTTCACGTACAACGCCGCCGAGGTGAAACTGAAGTGGATCGATTTCCAACCGATTTCGCTCCTTAAAGAAATACGACTTCCTGACTACAAACTTACTGAATACGACGCTCTTCAAGTCGAAAGGGTACGACAAAGAGCAAGGATGTTTTTATTTTTAATCTTTAATGGTTTTTGATTTTTGTACATGCTTTGAATCGTGGTTACGATTTAATGCTTAAATAATTTCAAATGTCCAAAAGTTTATAGCGACGAAGAATAAACACACCCATCAGATATGCATAATTGAAAACCCGTTCAATTCAAGTATCAGTAGTCTTTTAAACTTTGCTGCTTAACCTTTGTTTGATGATTTCATTATGCCCATGATGACAACAACATTTAAGGAAACAGTTAAGATATTTAACGAAACTTTTCAGTTATGCGGATTTATTTTGGAAGAAACACATTATTGTCTTTAGCGAAAGTTGAAAAGGTATGGCACGAGAGGAAGGCAGGTGCAGTCCATGAACCCCGTCTTCGTGCCACTTTTTTTCTGGTAAATTACATTTGTTATTGAAAACATCGTGGATTTCACCAAACCTAACTTGAGCGGTATCTGCTACAGTTTCCTCCAACGAGTCCCTATTAACGTGGCTGCGAACCAGCCGCGACACAGCGCAACAGATTTTTATTCTAAGCCTTCAGCAAATCTGCGAAAAATGAGAAGAGAAAGCGAAAGAAGTTTATGACCGTTTCATAGACCATGAAGAAGCTTGCGAAAGGTTGACCTTGCCGACGCCATTGAGAGTTCTTCTGTAGTGTGGGTTGGTTGATTTTCCCGCTATTTGGCTCCGTTTAACCCTCATACGATTGAGTCACTTGAAATTTGCGGATGAACTCGTCATATCTGACTTTACTCACGCTGACTTTTATGACACTTATGAGAGCCTGGCAAGTCCGCAACTGCATGCAAAGAGGTTAGAATGAAAATCAGTCTGGCCAAAATTGAGGCTTCTGTACTCTCAAGAAAGACCCCTTAGTTTGAGCCGAAAGTAAGTGGAGTACAGCTGGGGCAGACAGGGAAGCTCAAGTAATTTGTAGTAGCATTTACGAGTCATGGCAGGAAAATGGTGGAGGCGACCACTAGAATAAGCCAAGCCAGCCCAGCATCGTGATAATGAAGAAGGAGCTGATCAATAATGCGAAGTTATTTTATTTCAACTCTATCCGTAGATTTCCCTCTAATCATTGGTTGATGAATGCTTGCACTGGACGAATGAATGAGACAGAGGATGCAGATGGAGGAATTGACATTCCTTCGAAGGGGTTCTGAAATATAGAGTTCTGGCCGGCTTTAAAACACAATCATCTTGAGATTCGTTTGAGAACCGATTCTTCTTCAGACCGACGAATAACAGTTCAGTGGTTTGAATACGTGGTCAGGATTCCATCATGAACATATGCAAGACGGACTCGCTTCGAAAATTTCCATGGCGGTAGTCAACACTTAGCGTAGCTTGTTGGATTGACGGTGTAGGAAAAACATTATAAAGAGTCCTGGGGAGGGGGTGCTACCCCGCAGTTTGAAAGGAGTAGCGGGTTGTGGAAAACTGAGTGAATAAACCTCAGAAAACTCTAAGTGAACATTAATATTTTCTTCAAGTCTCGTTTTTTTTGAATTTGAGCGCCACGTTCATTCTGTCATGTGTGACTCACTGCCGGAATATTCTTCTTCTCGCTTGCTCACCTTCTCTGATAACTCCTCCAGTTTCACATCGATTAAAATTTACATTCTGTGCAGTAAAATTCCGCTACAGCGAGCTTCACTAAGCTGCAGATTCCATATACCGCATGTCTAGTTATGTCCTCCAAAACAATTCTTCATAAAAGACCTTGTTTTAAATTTGATTGCAATGTACTTAGCATCGTCACTGTTTAAAATGATTGTGTTTTTGTAGTCGTTATGCGTAACCCAAGCCCATGCTTGTGATTTGCTATGGAAGTGAAACATCCATGCTGCTTACATATTGCTTTAAGATCATACTAATCACTCGACATAGTGAAGGGGTGCATGAGCTTGAGAATTTTAAAATGATGGAATATTTGTAAAGCTCTGATTAAAGTCATGCAATATTATTTTAGATCGGAATGCGATATTAGGTTATGGTAGTTTGCCATGCTTGTGTGATTTTGCTATTTAATTTGTTATAAGGCATGTTTTAAAGCATGTTGTTTCGGGAGTTTCAGTTATTTCGCACAAAATTTCCTACAGTGCTGCACGTTGCATACGACGCCGACTTATTTCTCTTTCCAGAAGCCCTCGTTATAATCAAAGTTTACTTATTTTATAAAACTAAGAGAAATTTACATTTAACTCCAACACACGGATCTTGGTGGCAATAATGATGTCGCTGCTGTTTTGCTATGTGATCAGTGCTACCTTTTAATGCATTTTTTCACCAACCAACAAGAATGCATAGAAGGAAACACACCCTTAAATATTAAACATGAATAAATGTTCTCGCATTACCGAAACAGATTCATACGGAAGGCAGTTTTTATTGATTATCCGCGGAATAAAAATTTCAATGCAAAATCATGTCATGTTCATTTTGTAGCTTAAGTATCATTCAGCCGGATAAGCTAGATGACCGCAACTGCAGATTAAAAACAAAAAGAATGCAGTACCTAGGTTGAGGCAAAATGTGCATATTGCTGTAGTGGTTTTAACTCGAAGAGCTCAAAAGACACAAGAACTGTTTCCTACAAGATCTTCAAACTAACCTACATTTTACTCAAGGTTTGGGAGTGACTACAGCTTATGGTGCAAATATCAGAAGTACACACCGAGTGCACTTTTCTCAGCTAATTCCAAAGCATGGTTACGAACACCTCTCACTCATACCCATGCTCAGAGCCACTGAATGCCCAGGATAACATTTTTCAAGTAGTGGTCAACTTCAGTAAAGGAAAAGATAAAATTTCAAATACTCATCTTTTGAATTACAAAGTTAGGATGGTCACAAATCTTGCTGAATTAACGGAGATTACTCTGCTGAAATTCGCTGAAATCATGTTTTCATGCCCTAGTCGCAACAACAGTTGTTTATACAATATATAAACGAAAGGCATCTATGAACAGTTAACCAGCATGGGTCATAAAATATCATAAATGAATTTTCGCTTGTGGAATCACTCTTTTCCGGAAAGAAGTTATATATGCTCTAGAATAATGAGTGCATAAATTTGCGGACTTGCACAGATTAGATTACAGTAAAGAATTTAGAATTACCTTCCGGGACAATGGCATGAACTTACGGCGGTTTTTACATTTCAGGTGAGTCATTTGATGTTTTCACCATTTTATTTCCACATTTCAGAGACGGTACGGATTTTACATTCTTCAAGCATACGTGCCTGCGTACTTGGTTGTTCTCATCTCATGGATATCGTTTTTTCTGGGAACGGATATGATTCAACCGAGAACATTGCTTGGGGTTCACTCATTGCTTGCACTAACTTATCAAGTAGGCTCTTATTGCTGGGGAACACGCTGCGCATGATATTCGTGGACACTGATAAACGTCTGCATCAATGTTTATGTAACGTAGACAACAAGTGAAACAATTGAAACACGTAAAAATTTAGTATTATAAATATGCATAAACACTTAGAATTTCATTGAAGTACTTTTTGATTCTGGATCCACATTCCATTAACGGATTGTCTTCTTGATGCATGGTTAGAAAATGCAAGCGCAAAATAGACATGTTACATTGCCAACAGCAGTAAAATCACCAGGCCAGCATAACTTAAAAACTCAACTAAGCGCTTTGACACAATAACATTGTATCAGTCACATGGTCTTGAGTAAATGTTGTGTGTCACTCAGACAGGAATTTACATTTTGCGCAGCAGATTACTGAATGTACCTCAGCTTTGACGTATATCCAAGATGATGAGTTTTTACTGCACATTTTGCGTTTTCGTGCAAAGTCTGAAGGGACTCTTTGATTACTAGCATTAACCTTGTGTAATCCATGCCAATTACAGAAATACTCGTTGTTCTGACACCATGTCCTTAGTCAATGGCATAGAATTTACTACCGGAGTATTCAGCATGACAGTTGCAGATTGAGAACAGACGTTCTTTCACTCTGATATTAAGCCTTCTACAGATCTTCAAATATAAATTCTGTCATGGTCACTGTATTTTATAGGCAAAATTAAGGGTTTCTGCTAGGTTGCTTAGATGGAGTTTAATAAAACAAACCTTCCTCAGTGGAAGGTAGTATTTTTGACAGTACTCTGTGGAAAGTAAAATGAAGTTACTCTTATGGGTCTGCTTTCTTGTGCTTTGCTTGTCTTTAGGCTGAATTGCAGCAGTTCGCTGTAAAAATGTCGGCAAGTAATAGCTTTGAAAAAAGTTCTTGTGAGGACGGGTAATTTCTCCAGTCAAGCATTTTCGAATGCTACTTGTTGCCACTGCGCAGTTATGAAAATCCTTCATTATATTATTGAATAACGCATGTGGGGTATAAGAGTTTGGAAGAAGTTATCTATCGGAGTGAGTATGTTCTCGGTATTGCGAAATTTTAACTTCCAATGCTGGCTACCACGTTTAACAGTCATACGCAAGAGCGGCCGAATTTGATGTCTCTCATTTTCAGTGATGAGTTTTATGCGTCCATTGTTGTCCGTTTCATTCACGCAAGCCGTCAAATCATTCTCACGTCTTTTGGAATGGAAAGAAAATACCATAATCGAATCGGTCATAAGAAAGAAAGAAAGATACTTGGACATTCATCCAAGGCTTTCTTTTCCAGATGGTCTGAGCTACCACTAGACTTGAATCTGACACTAGTACCAGACTTGAAAGTCCATGTGAACGCCATATGTCTAATGGAATACCATATCCACAAGCTAGAAATTGACCCCTGTTATCACAAGACAAAATATTTGAGGAAGTTCTTGAACGCTGAAGATTCTCAGAACGCTTTTTTAATGATTTCCGTTCCGCTGCCGTCTCCTGTAAGATAGCAGGAATTGTTTTGACAATTTTTCTTGCATCAACGTTTTGAAAGCGCCGTCATATTCAGTGATGCCATCAACAATCCTTGTCTGAATTTTCACTCACTTTCTTGATGAATTCGTTCCTCTGTTATTCTGTACTTCATCGTACTACATTCAAGTTTCGGTAAGCCAATTCTATGGCCATGTAGTAAGTAATGATACCACCTGCAAGGATTATGATGTGTAGGGGCGAGCCAGATTTATGTAGCATGACCAATCCGTAGAGTTTAGATATTTTATAGAATTCAGCAGTTGGAAGAATTCGCTAAGACTTAGTCTTCCACTAAGACTTCCCTCGTCAGAAATTTCTGTAAGAACAGGGAACATATTTTAGAGCATATTTTTTCCAGGGTTTTGTACTGTTTCTGAGTTGAATATTAAGATCATCAATTTGGAATTTCTCCACAATTTGATGATACAATATAATAGTTTATATATAGTATAAGGTACATGAATTCTTTATGCAGGAGTTGATATGATACTTTGTAAGTCACAAATGGAAAGGCAACGCATAAAATGTTCTTTAATTAGGGCCATCTGTTGAAATGTCATCTGCAGCACCCAAGCTTAAGTTAGGCAATCCATTAGAAAACAGACCCGTAATATCAGTTCCATTTATCCCCAAGTTTTTGAACAAGTCAAAAAATATTTAAGGAAAATGGAGTTCGCGGTCTACTACAAAATGGGATGACACTAGGGATGTTTCTTTTCAAGGAACTATTCATGCAATCCATCTGAAGCTCTTAATGCAATTTGTAAAATAAAGTGCAGTGATTAGGAGGTACGACTTATGGAAGGCCTAATGTTACAGTGATAGAATGTCCGTATGCAATCTGCGGCTGTAATGCAGATGACTCAAGCGTTGCATTTCATGCCAATCAATCATTGCAACAAAGGTGTAGCTTGAACGATGTCCTTCACAAATATCATGGAATGCAATATCAGGGTATTCTACACGACAGCTGCGGATTGCACACAGACGTTCTTTCACTCTGATATTAAGCTGTTTATAGCCTTTACCATTATAAATTTTGTCGTGATCACTGCACTGTAAAAACATGGCGCCAGTGAAACGAGTGCATTTGACAGGAACAGCAGGTTTTGGTTATTGACTACAAACGCCTTCATATTTTTGGCAAAAACACAAGAAACTGAATGAATGCTCTTTATCCTTTGATATAAGTCGAAGCTTTGGTGGAATCATTAGTCTGTTAAAAAATTATAAATTCCTGATTGAGTGACACATAACTTTCACTCAAGATTATGTTATTCGTACATTATTACTGTGCCAAAATGTATTGTTGATGTATTGTTGAGTTTTTAAATTCTTTACTCCTGATGTTATTACCACTATTGGTCGCGAAGCGCGTCGATTGTCGATAAAACCCTTCTATTTCTGTTTTAAGTCTGAGTAAACCATGCATCAAGAAAAAAACAATCCGTGGATAAATACTTAGCTAAGCGAAACATTTCGAACTCAGACAAAATCGGACAATTACTGATTTCAGTTTGGCACCGTTCTCGCAGACCTTCCAAAAACTTCAGATGTGAAAGCGATCGATGTTTGGATTTTATGCTGCATGGCTTTCATCTTCTGTTCGTTGCTTGAACTAGCTATTGTTGGATACCTCTCGCGCGAAGAAACGGAACACGCAATTAGGTAATCATTTTATAACCAACTTCCATAACCGCATGGGAGCAACTAAAACCAATGCAGGCAAGTTGGTACAGCATCTGACAGCGATTCCTTAAACTTGGTACTGTGATACAAAGAAAGTCCTGTCCGAGCAATTAGACAATTTTTAAGAAATTTTAATTCCCACAAAACGCATGGCAAAGAATTTCTCGTAGTATAACAGTTTCCTCCTACATTTTGTCGCATGATGTACAAAAGCATATCCACGATGAAACATTACACATTGTAGGCGCTAAAAATCTGAAGAAGAACGAGAAAACTTTGACGGAATTCTTACTTGATTTTCTCAAAGATGATGTGAGAAGCAGCAATACAAATAGCTTCTTCCCGCACTTTTGCCTGTCAGAAATGAACAGAACAGAAGAGTTCCTGTTACCTAAGAGGACATCGACCCTTCCATTACAGCTACTTGCAGCAAATAAGGAACTCAGATCATCCCGCTTCTATGAAACCATTAAACATTACGAAAAAATCAGTGTCGTTCAGATGATTGAGCAGTAAATTATGACTTAGACGAGTCGAAAGTTTCGGCACTTGCAACGATACTGAGTTTGCGAGCTTCAAACGACATTTGTACACCTCGATATACTCGATAGTGAGGTACTCATGGTGAACCCCGTAGTGGCGAAATCAGATTTCGTTATATTGAAACTCATTAGAGGTTCACGCCGCTATCCCTTAAGCATTACTATTTTCTTCGATAACGAAGTATTAACTAAATTGCAATTATCGACGGTCTTATGCTGTTAATAGCATCAGCCTCGCTTTCCAGAGATCTTGGAACTGAAAACTTTATAGATATCTCTGCCGTTTCTTCCCTACGCCAAGGCCATTGTACGTATTTCAGTAATCTTTGAAAAAGGACGCTGATAACCTCAAGTCGTGTTAAGCTTTCATCAAACACACATGCAGCAGAGCGGCGTGTTTTTTTGCGTTTAATCCTTATGATAGTGAGTCTCAAATCCACATCTGAGTCTAATGTTAAGTTTGAAACATTGTCAGATTTTGAACTTACTGGAAGACCTGAAGGAAATACAATTAGTCTAGCTGTAAATGGGCTTTAGTCTGAAGAGTCAGAAAAATATTTACGCTATGACTCGCATTTTCTTTCCGTAACTTAGTAAGATTAAATTAAGTCAACCATTCCTTCAACATGTTTTTAATCGATTCCTCTCACTTTTTAAGTTCATTTTAAATCTTAGAATTTTCAGTTCAGAATTCACTTCGTTCATGCCTGCGGGTGTCCTATTTTAGGTGCCGGTGCTCGTGGCTTTGCATTGAATGTCCACTGCTTACGCCAGAGCGAATCGATAACCTGTCAGTGGTGCTTTTTCCAAGTGCATTTGTATTGTTCAACGTCTATTACTGGGGATTTTTCATAGGATGATATTCGCAGCTTAGACGCCGCATTGAGGGAAGTGAATTTCGATGTCTTCTGTACGCGGACAAAGGAAGACCTTGTTTAGCTGCATAGTTCATAGTTCATACTTTACGTGCTTTGCAGCGATAAAGAATCTTGTTTCCGCCAGTTAATTCTGTTTGGAAATTGATCGTAAACATGGAAGCTTAAGCCGATGA